GCCCAGGGCCAGAGGAGCCTGGGAAGGAGGCAGGGAGCCAGTTCTCCCCCAGGAGCCGCGTGCAAAGGCCCCTCCTTGGCGAGGAGAGTCCTCCGTCCTCCAGGAGCTGGGGTCTGGACGCGGGTGGGCAGTGGGGGTTCCAGTGGGAGGCAGCCCTGGCAGGAGCCCACCAGGCGGGGCAGCCGTGGGCAGGGCAGCCGTGGGGAACCTCGGTGGGTGGGGTCCAGATGTGGGGCCCTGGCCCTGGCCCCGGCAGGAATGGGCTTGGAGAGGGGTCCCAGAGCCCCCTCCACAGGAACAGACCTCAAAGGGCAGAGACCTTCTCTGGTCTTGGCTGCCTCTGCCTCAGTCTCCCCACTGGAAACCACAGTGTCCAGTGGCTGCAACGCCTTCACAGGGGGAGGCTCATGTGCTCATCAGGTGGGCACAGGGGACTCCGTGCTGTGGGCACCGGGGAGCCCCCACACCTGTCCTGGGGGAGCAGACATTTTTTTTCCTTACAAAATGTTTTTTTTAATTGATTACAGAGGAAGGGAGAGGAAGAGACAGGCACATCAATGATGAGAGAGAACCATGGATCAGCTGCCTCTGCACGCCCCCCACGGGAGATCAAGCCTGCAACCCGGGCACGTGCCCTGCCTGGGAATCAAAACGTGACGTCCTGGTTCACAGGTCGACGCTCAGCCACTGAGCCACGCCAGCTGGGACCTCATGGTTTTCTTAATAACATTGTCTTTTCTTTAGATCACTTTCTTGGAAGAACACAGTATACGTAGACACACAAAGTACACGCTAATCGGCTGTGTCATCAGGGAGGCTCGGGTCAGCAGCAGGCTCTCGGTGGTCACGTGGGAGGAGTCAGAGTTACACGCGGATTTTTTCCCTGCTCTGGGGGTGCAGCGCCCCCACCCCACACTGTTCAAGGGTCACCTATGCCCTGGACACGAGTCCTCTGGCCGGGGAATCGTGGCGGCTCCTTGTCGGTCCAGATGTGTCTGCTTCCTGCTCCATCCTTGCCCCTTGGGGTTTCCTGGGAATGGTCGGCCACGAGGTCTGAAGGTCACTTTGGAAGGCGGGCCTCGGGGTTCACCTAGACGGGCTTTTTGCAGAAATCATTCCCGTTTCCGCCTTCCGTCTAGAGAACCGGTTGTCCCAGCCCTTGTCCCCGTGCTGGCCTGTCTGCCCTGAGGTCACAGCTCCACCACCCAGGACACGCGACCGGAATAGTTCCCTCTCCTCTTCTCTCCTGGCGCCCTCAGCTCTGCCATGACCATTGGGAACAACTTGCCCAAATGCCTGGAAAACGGTTAGGAGTTCAACTGTGACGACATTGAATCGATACACCACTTGAGGGAAGTGAACATTATTTATGCATTTATTCATTTATTTAAAAAATCTTATTGATTTCAGAGAGGAAGGGAGAGGGAGATAGAGATACAAACATCAGTGATGAGAGAATCATGGATCGGCTGCCTCCTGCACACCCCACACTGGGGACCGAGCCCACAACCCGGGCCGGTGCCCTGAATGGGAATCGAACCCGGGATCCTTCAGTCCGCAGGCCGATGCTCTTATCCACTGAGCCAAACAGGGTCGGGCCATTCATTCATTTTTTTAAATCCTCACTGAGGATGTGTTTTTATCGATTTTGAGAAAGAGAAACATCGATGTGAAAGAAACATTGATTGGTTGCCTCCCGTGTGCCCCCGGACTGGGGATTGAACTCGCGACCGAGGTACGTGCCCTGACGGAGAATGGAGCCCACACCTTTTTGGTGTGCGGGATGGTGCGTCAACCGAGCCACCTGGCCAGGGCAGACAATGAACATCTTTTAAACATGGAGTCCTTTGTCCAAAAACAGGGTTTATTTTTCTGTTGACAGAGGTTTTCTCGTAGGTCTCTCAAAAAAGTTTGAAGTAATTTTCTTCTTAAAGGTCTCGCACATTTTTTTCTTAGATTTAGTACTTGGAACATACAGTTTTAGTTTTCAATGACATTTTCTAAGTTTTGTTTTTGTTTTGTTTTTGCTGGTTGTAGTAAGTTCAATCCCTTTTTTGAACTCATTCTGTAACCAGCATCTTATTAAACTCTTAATAATTCTAAGACTTTATCTGTAAAAGTCTGGACAGCATTGCCCATAACAGCATCACTAGTGTCTTCCTGATCAGGGGGGAATGCCTTCAACATTCCACCACCGACCCCGTTCACTGAGGGCTTTCGTGTAAATGCGTTTCCAAGTTTCTTACAAACATGAACCGAGTACAGTTGCATGTTCTCTTCTGAATTCCTTGCAGGCATATTTTCTCCT